AGCCTGCACCCTCTCCAATCTGGGACCCCTCTCACAATCCGGGACTGCTGGCTCCCAACCACTCACCTGCCTGCCTGCCTGATTGCCCCTAACTGTTTCTGCCTGCCAGCCTGATCACCCCCTAACCACTCCCCTGCCAGCCTGACTGACACCTAACTGCTCCCCTGCCAGCCCGATTGCCCCCAACTTCTCTCACCTGCCAGCTCGGTTTCCCCAACTGCCCTCTCCTGCTGTCCCGGTCACCCCCAACTGCCCTCCCCTGCTGGCCTGGTCGTCCACAACTGCCCTCCCCTGCCAGCCATCTTGTGGTGGCCATCTTGTGCCCACATGGGGGTGGCAATCTTTTGACCACATGGGGTGGCCATCTTGTGCAAGGGTGTGATGGTCAATTTGCATATTACCTCTTTATTATATAGGATTATATTTTGATTGGTTGAACGGCTGAACAGCTGACTGGACACTTAGCATATTAGATTTTTATTACATAGGACTAGAGGCCCGGTGCACAGATTCATGCACCAGTGGGATCCCTCAGTATGGCCTGCACTCTCTCGCAAGCTAGGACCCCTCTAGGATTGCCAGGTCAGGTACCTGGCCTAAATAGATGCCTAACCATTTAACTATGAGAGGATTTGAGGCTATTTTTCTTGGAAGAATTGAGATGAAATATCATACTCTATCATTTAATTAATTCTCTTTTCAGTTGAAGTATTCTGCATCAGATTTTAACAAAAATGCAAAAAAGGGATCAACTAAAAAGCAGTGGTCTGCTTCTAGTTAGTTGATATTCCTTATCCTATATAATAAAAGGCTAATATGCAAATTTTCCCCTTGTTCCCCTTGCGAGTTCGACCAACCGGGAGTTCGACCGCTCATTATAACATGTGCTGACCACCAGGGGGTGGTGCAGAATGAAGGGAGACCCCGGCTGGCAACTGGCAAGTCAGGGGAGGGAAGGCCCAGGCCAGCAGCCAAGAGGCCCCAATTGGCCCTGATCGCTGGCCCGGGCTAGGGACCCTACCCATGTATGAATTTCATGCACCGGGCTTCTAGTATATTAATGAGCCTGTTACTGTTTGAATTTGTTAATACACTACCTTGGTGTGATTTTATTTGGTATGATGTTTACTCATTATGTGAAAATTTTAGACATAAAAAGCTTGCTATACTAGAGTATAAGGTATTAGTTTATCAACAGTTCCTTCTGGATAACACTTATTAACACTGTTTCCATTTTAGGAAAATGGAGAAGAAAACAAAGAAAGGAAACAGGAAGCAACTAACAGGAATGAGCCTATTGAGGTAGAATTTTCATAAGTCAGATATTAATGTTGGAGAGTAACTTGGACAAATTAATTTTATTATAAAAGAAGGAAAAGAAAAGATGTGGGTATTCAGATCTATTTTTCTGTGAAAAATTCCCCGATCTCTCTGGGAAAATATATTATTTTTATTATTTTTTATTATTATTTATTCCTCTGTGTTTCTGAACATTTCCTCTACTTTTGAACTTTGCAAATTGAGTTGCATCTGTTTATTCACTAACCTGGGAACTCTTTAAAGGCAGGCCTGATTCATATTTTTAACCCCAGTGTCTACCTGCATATAGAAGGCACCCAAAAAAGGTTTATTGAGTTGCATTTATCTGGGTGTTTTCAAACAAAACAGATTTTTAAAGAAATGGAAGGATGCTTCTTAGCAATTTCAGGAGATGGGACACTATAAGCAAAGAAAGCAGTCTGTGAGAAATTTGTAGTTTGTAGGAAGTTATGCAGAATCAATTGGGACCTATCAAATAAATCTAGTTTATATATGAACTGCTTCAAAAAGGCTTCAAGGCAGCTATTTTTAAGTGTTGGAATCTGTTGTCTCCAAAGGCAGTACTTTTGGTTTATTCAACTAAAACATGTGTTATGTTGATAAAAAGGTGAATACTCTAGTACATTATAAGCATAATATTTCAGATTAAAGAGTCCCTAGATTGTAACTGCCCTAGAGACAGAGACTATGAATATAAAATTTACTTTCTACATAGCACAAACTACACTAAACATACACAAACTCTTAAATGAATTTTGGCACAGAAGTGATTTTGATAATCTGTGGTTGAATCTATAGTCATTTGCAATGAAGTGGGGACCCGGTAATTATCCAATTTAATTCCTTAATATGAATAAATAAAACAGATAAATCACATTCCTCTCAGAATGACCCTTCAAAAAAAATGCTTCTTAGTGAGATTATTATTCTAATGTCTGTCAGCCTTTCTCACATGAATTAGGTAGCCATCAAAGTTTTACTTCACCTCATCTTGATTGTTATTTCAAAAATTAATAAGGATGACAATGTTTTTAAAAATTCAATTGCATTACTGTTGCTGGTGGGTTTGTTTGTTTTTAATGATAATAGTGATGATTACTGGGGTGAGTTTTCCTGTCTCCCTGAGCACTAGCCTAGCATTAATCTAGCTTTGGTCAGTAATAACAGAAATAACAGTATTACAGTTTGAAAAATTTAACAGTTGAGAACTCATTACCATTCAATAGAATGGTGGGATGTGGTGGGGGTCAGGGGAGATTTTGATCTTTCAGAGTACTTTGTGTTGTTTATTAATGTTGTCTTTCTCTCTTTTTGTTATTAATAATGGTCTGGTAATACTTTCCCCTACCATTTGATGATATTTTTTGCTGGTCCAGATGAGTGAGTCACCATCTCAAGAGGAACCCAAACCTGCTCAGGTACCTGGCCTAAATAGATGCCTAACCATTTAAC